TCTCAAGCAGCATCAGGAAAAACACTTATACAATGCCCAAGATTAAATTTCTTGACAGTATATAGTTTCACTTTTAAAATTCACATCAGTGGAGCAGTACCTTATCATCTACAGCATTTTTTTTTTAATTAATAATCTCATCCTAATTATGGATAGGTACCAAATTCCTCAGACTGCTAAGGATAGTCAGAGAGGTTGTAACTGCCCTGTAAGAATTCCAAATAACACCCTAACCTACTGCTACCCACCTAGGCAACACAGGGAGCACTCACTTTGAGGTTATCAACACCTCTTACTATGCCTTCAGGTCCTGAATACAGACAGACATGTATACAACAATTTTCCTACACTTATAATGATATTCCCCCCCATGCCTACTATCTCATTTGTTTTAAAGTCAGAGCTGTGAGTGACATTAGTTTAAAATTTTATCACATACTTCTGAGAGTGGAAGTCAGATCACATCAACAGCAAATTTGTACATCAGCACACACTTCTCAAGCTAAGGAGAACCTTCTTGCAACTTGTTATTAAATATTTTCTCATTAAATGTTAAGAACTATAGATGAATCAGCATTTGAGTTAACATGTTAACTGGCTAGACAACTAAATGACAGCAGTCAATTTTCACCTACTTTTTTGATAGGGACCAGGATATTTAGCATTATAGCTAAATTTTCCTAAATCCATCCCTGTGCCAGTCATTTTTCCAGTCTCTGTTCTTCCTGCTCTCCATGTCCTTTTTATACTCTTTATCCCCCTGCCATTTCCACCCCTCTATATCCTTTAAGGGGTTGCAGAAGTTTTTGATTTAAGGCCAGGAAAGTCGACCACTATATTGCTGAGTCTTATTCCTTGTTAATCACATTTTATCCAGTTATCTTCTAAGCAAAGTCCAACAACAAGCTGAGAATGCTTGTATTCCCAGAAATGCATCTAATCTTCAAACACTATAAATGATTACACATTGATTTCTGCTGGTTGTATAGTTCATTGCCAAACCACCGTTACTCCCTTGTTTCTCATGTAGCTAATTTTATGAGCATGAAAGTTCATAGCCTCACTTTTGTAACACTTTCCACTTTTTCCCTTTTAAGAGATACCGGCAACACAAGTCTAGCTGACATTAAGATAACCATCACTAACACCACACACAGAGAACTCAATACCACAGCACACAAGCAGAATAAGCCCTTATTGAGAGTCGTTACTAATATACAGTCAGAAGCTTCAGTTCTAGGGGTGAAGCACTACATTTAACCGAGCTTACTGATCTCGACTGTGCAGGTCCTGCAGACCAAATGACAATCTAAAAGAGTAGGGCATGCTCAGCTGACAACACAGGCTAAGGAAGATAATTTTAACAACCCTAGCTTCTTCATTATCTAGAAGTAGAAACTGGTCCTCGTGAGCCTTTTCACTGCTCGGGGAAAGTCTCATGAGGGAGGAAGATCGTTATATGGGATGCCTGGAAAAAATAGAAGCATGTCGTTCATGTGCAAAATAGGGATGTATTGCTAGCTCCTACACACATTTGATCTCTACTGGTTTTGTACCATTAATAAGATACAGAAGAGGATTATACCTACATTCAGCTCTAATAAACTGTGCAAAGAACTTAGAGTAACATCTTTTCCTTTCAGTTCTAGAATATGCTCAAATATATCCTGTCAGCCAGAAGCTAACTGAGGCTGTTGGGAGGAGACCTACTTACCCACTTTGTGGTGATGTTTGGAAGATATGTTGGATATGCTTGCAACTTTTTAACCTAGGTCAGTCTTCTATGAGAGATCATTATTTTACCTACTTTTCCCATTATTCTTTAACTAGTGATACTCTGCAGCACAAGATGTGTTCTCGATTCTGAGAAATTGAAAACTCTCTATGGGAGGAGAGTTAACCCTGGCCATCACCACTTCCATATTTCATCCACCAAGACAAATATCAGAATTAATAAAGCCATTACTTTTAATCAGACAATTTAGGAAAGGAGTCAAACATCTAGAACTTTGTCAAGCAATTGAATCTACAAATGTGTTTTAAACCCAAATGTGCAGTGAATATTTTAAAAATAATATAGACAAATAGAGATATTTCTATATTTGTGAAACAGAGTGCTCAGTCATCAGTTTGTCAGAAAGTATTACAGTTTCATGGCTCTGGACCAGGTCTACTCCAGCCTTTTGCTGTGTACAAATACTGAGTATAAAGGAGTGCTTATGAAGATGGATGTTTGTTTCCCTCTCTCTACCACTAAATTAGAACTAACTACTGAATTAGAACTGCAATTAAGAATTTGTTAGAAGGCAAATACAGACAAAAAATATGAATGCAAATACATATTCATGGGTAAGGAGTTACTGAAATAAAATACACAAGGGAGAACAACTCTCTAGTCCTAAGAGATAGAAGCAATTGAAGCACGGGAAACCTGCTACCATTACTTGGCAATTTTAGCATTTCATAGAAATAAATACTTTCCATTTTAAAAAGATTTTCAGTGATTAGTCTCAGATGTTGAGCTGGTTTTAAGTCAAACAAGAATATAGCATTCAAATCTATACAATGCCTTAGCATTCAAATAACTTCCTCAGTTGAGACTCAGTATTTCTGAAATCTAGCTAAATATTTGGGGGAGGCTTTAGAGACAGACTTAAGATTAGCTACTTAGGCAATTCCTATTATATCTTCTTTGTGTTTCTCACAAGTGCCATCCTTGTACATGCTCATTAACTCGCAGAGTATCAAATAGCTGCTCACAGACACAACCAAGAATCTCAGGCATTGAAGACCTCAATTCCTGGACAGAAAGAGCTAAAATTTAAAGCAACCCAAGTTTCAGATGCAGGTTCCTCTTGCTCTCTAATAAGTTTATTTAAAATTAAATTCAGCTACGCCTGATATTCATTAGATAAAACTGAATACAAACAATTAATGATTTGAAAAATTCCCTACAATTCTAGAACATTTAAATAAAGGCTTTTTTTTAATTATGTGGTTTGCCCAAGCACAATTGATACTGTCATTCACTTATCTAACCAATTAGTATTTCTAAAGAATGTATTTTATTTGTTTGCAATCGTTTATTATCTAACTTATAATTTTGCAGTTTCTTAGGCAACAAATGGCTGTCTTGCATCTGGGAAATAAAACACACAAAAGGGTGTTGGTGTGCTGTTTGAATACATGCAATTACTGGTAGTTACATTCTAATTAGCATAATTAGTTTTGAAACAGTTCTCATGATAACTGTCAACGTTATGTCAATTTAGCTGAAGTTAATGGCATATTTAACAAAGACACTTACTAATTTTCAGTATTATACTATTTAAAAGAAAGCAGGAGGCAAAGCCCTTTCTGAAAAAGTAGAACTGCTTTTCATACACACTGAACATTTCTTATTTGTTTCCTTTCAGCAATCCATCTTATAAGACAGCACTTTATGTAATTACCACCCTCCAGCTTCCGTAAGACCATTCTTACAAATTAACACTGATAAATTTGCAATAAAAAGCAAGTATACCAAAGTACAGATGCTTGCAAATTCAGCTTTCTGTTGTTTTGGGGAAGGTAACAATATTTTGGCAGTGGGGGTGGGTGGGAGAAAGTTGGGGAAAAAAAAAATCAAGCGGTAAATCTTGAAAAAACTAAAGAGGTAAATAGTATGCTAAAAAGTAGCAAATGCTTCTAGTTGTACCTAGACAAACCATCCCTTCACTGCTTACTAGGAAAGGGCATAAGCCATTCATAAAGGCCAGTTTTACCCTTTTTCCAGTGTTGATAAGTTACTAGATACTATTTACAAGTAGTCAAAGATGTTCCATTATTAAACCAAGTAAAAATTCAGTCATTTCACTGACATCTTTCAAGTTTCCAAGAAGAAACTACATGCTTTTCAGAGTTTGCTTTACTTCATACCATGAATATTCATCTTCCACAACAGAAGGAACAGCCAACCTATGCTCAGTACTTGCCATAAAGCTGAAGTTACACAACCAGTCTTGACTGAATTTAAAAGCCAAGTGTATTACAATGTACATGTTTCATTTGAGGATCTTGTTTATACTGTATTTTTAGTAAGTGGATATTTCAAAGAGCAAGTTACCATTCAGTAGTCATTAAATATGCTGTCTTAAAAAGCTCTCTGGACTGTGAGAAGTCTTTGTTGTGGGTTGTTGGTTTTTTTTTTTTTTAATTTATATAAAACAGAAAAACAAAATTAAAGACTTCATGCTCCTTAAAGTAGCAGATCACTTTTTCATTAAAAAAACCCCACAAACAAAAAAACCCCCAAATAACAGGAGTTTGATATTAATCCATGGTGAAGACAAAGCAAATCTACAGAAGTTTTACCCAATTAATTTGGACAAATTCTTTTCCTTTCATCTACACATTTATCATCGTGTATCATAAAGGCACCTTATGTTCAGGTTTCTACTGGTTTTATGGATGCAGCTATGCAGAAGAAGTTATAATTGGGAACTTTATTCAATCCATGCCACTCAGAGACAAAATATCTTTCTGCCTATAAAGTGGTAAGTAATTGCTCAGACACTTTCAGACTCATTATCATAATTTTAAGCACATCAGCTTATTACAATGAAATATTAACAAAAATAGCTTTATTTCCGTTTATTTTGAACTATTTTCCCAAAATTCTGCTAGCAGTAACAAAAATAGACAAGTCAAAACAGCAAGTAGTAATGGTATTTGTAAACATTTGTGGAGTGGCAGGGGGGCTGGGAGAGGACAGGAGAATTACTCCCAAACTTTGGACACTGAATAAGGCAGCAACTCTAAGTTAACTCCCAAAACCACTTCAGCAGAAAAGAAGCAGTTTCAGGGGCCAATTCATCCTACCCTGAAATAGATGCCTGAAATCAGGCAAGATGACAGTCAGCCTATAGGGCAAGGAGAGTCAGATAAGCTAGCTCTACCGCAGTTTCCCTACACTCCTGAAAAACTCAGCACTGAGACACACACTCTGAATTGCCTTCCAGGAGCGTGTATTATTCTCCACTGACTACAGAGAGGAAGAGACTGATCAGACCAACACTTGACCCGCAATATCCTACAGCAGAACTGCTCCACACCTCAGCTTCACTTTCTATTTAGTGTTGAAGACATTCTGTATCATTTTCTTAATGTTTCTAAGTCCGCATTAATACTCTCTGCAGATTCCCTTCGTCTGCCGTCTTCGTCAGACCACAGAATCTGTCCATTGTGGATGGCTCAACATGCTCCTGCCAGAAGTAGAAGAGTAACAAGACTATCACCTAGCTACCTCTGAATTAAGAGCCCCCAGCAAATCCAATATACTGCCTGTTCATCTGAAAATCAGCCTTCCCCATACTCATTTTTAACCCACTTATATGGTTCTATATGGAAACTGTATTTTTAATTTATAGTCCAACTGCCTGTATTACAGGAGTGAATCACACATAGCTATTGAACTCAATCTAAAGCAACACCTGCAGCCTATTTTTAATCAATATTCTATAACTCAATCTATAATTTCCCACAGAAAGGATTTACATCTGTAACACAGTAAGTAATCTAGGGAAGTTTTTACAAATTATTGACAGAAAACGGGAAAAGCAAGTCTTTTGTACCCCGTTTGCAATTCCACTTAACACTAGTATGTATCTTTGAGCTGCTCGCTTGTCATTCTTGTCTATACTGGCATATAATCACTGCTCAAAGTCAGGTCCACATCAGCTGGGTATCAACCCCAGCGAGAATGATCGGTCAATAACAGGCTAATAATTTTTCAGATGAGTGAGACATTACATTTAAAACCATTTCAACTCAGACTGTGAACAGGTACATGGAAATTCTTCATACAAATCTCTTCTACATAAGGTCAAACTCTTTCCTAAATATAATTAAAAGCTCCCATTACTAGAACGTAAAAATAGGTCTCCCAAACTCAACTCTGTCAAAGCACAGCACCCAGACCAAAACAAAAAAAGGGGAGGAGGTGGAGTGACTCCTAACTTATGGCCCCTCTTAAGCAAAGGCCAGAGTCTTTCAGAAGTCTGACACTAAAGTATTTGTCAAAGGAGGCTTGAGAAGAGCTCTGCCTATGTGACAATGTAACGGTTAACCTCCTTAGGAGGCAAGTCTGATCGGCAGTTCCAGATAAGAAACAAATACTTCTGAGGAACGTGCATCTCCACCCTGTGCACAATCTGCTCGGATCTGCATAGAAGGCTTTCGCCTGCTTTTGCACCAGCATGAAAGAAGCTGCAGTCAGGCACAGATAAAAGATGCGGAGAGACTGGAAGGAAGAAGTCTGTGGCAGACAAGTATGCCATAAAACTTGATTGGTGATGAGTGAAAGGCCCTTAAGGAAGCATGGCTCGCTGAATTTTTCATTAGTCTGTTGTTTTATGACCATTAAAATACTTTTTGTCAAAATGCTGCTGAATCTTCCTCTTCCTACAGTTTAAGCATTACACCAAAACAAAAGCACAGTGTTGCTAGTAGCATGACACTTAATAGTTGTGCAAACAGAAACAGTCAAATAGCAACACAGCACTTTTTACGTTTAGTTAATTTAGTTCATTAGAATAATTTTTTTTAGGAAAAAATGTACAGTTTTGATGCTATTTAAATTAATTTCTGACCATTTGTCTACTTTCCTTTTCATTTCAACTATAGATAATTCAAATGCTTCCTTCACAATGAACTATGTTTCTCCTAACAAACTAGAAAACAAAAAATACATAGGTTGATACTTAGTTCCCTGGAAAATATTAGGGCTGAAAGCCTAAAACTTCCAATAGAATCAAGTGTTTGTAATAACCATGGAGTCCAATAAACCACATCTGCCCCAAAGAGCCACAAACAACGCCACCACTAAACAGAAACCATGATTACACTTGTAAGTGCAGATTCGTTGCACTTGAAGTGAAATACTATTTCAGATAGATTCATGGAGAAACCAGCCATCTACGTATCAATATATGAAATGAAAAACTGGTATGGTGGTATCTGCTCAGCACTGTCTGATCATAGCCTTCTTTAACCTGAACATTGTGTAAAAAAAAAAAAGCAAGTTTCCCCTAGAAAGTTGACATGGATCAGCAAAGTTTTAATAACCAGCCAAAACACGGAAGAGGGGGGTAAAATATTAATAAAACTTTTCTGCTTTTTTATACAACATGAAATATATTCATTAAAGTAATTCTTTGAAGGAAAGTATAGGTTCATATACAGGGTCCTGCATTAAATTTCAACACTTCTTAAGATCTTAATATACAAAAGGACAAAGCAATATAATGGATGCTTGAAAACAAAAAGCTGAAAGTTCAAGTGTATGAGGCATCTCTTCCCCTTTCTGTTCCCTTATCATTTTATCCAAAAGACTTAATTAAGCTTATGCTTCATACACCCATGTTCTCCTGAGGACAGAGTCCTGCAGAAAGTGGAAACAAAGACATTAATAGAAAAGAATACTCAGGAGAAAGGACAGTTACCTTCCATTGCTGTCTTAAAAAGCATGCTTTTTTTTTTTTTAGGAAAGAAACCATTTAAATGCAAACAGCTATATTAATGCAACATTCAGCTCTGACTTTATGCAAAATCCAGTAACCCAATTCAGAGTTACTGCTACGACAAACATTATTCAGCTGCGCTCAACATACTAAGTAATGTTGTATGCAGGAATGCATTAGGTACTTTAAAAATGAAGCTTAAGGAGGAGAGGTTGATCTGGAAATAAACTCTGGTTTGATCCCCATCCCCCCAACAATAGATATAGAGATGCAATAGATTTCTTTGGTACACTCCTAGCTTTGAAAAAAATTACTCACCAAACTAGCAGTAAGTGAAGGCGCTGACTGCCCAAGCGCTTGGTAGCGCATGCGAACAAGATTAGAGGTTTCTGCAGGTTGCCACAGCTGCTGTCCAGTTGCATTGGGAAGCAGGTATTTGCCTGTCAAGTTAAGAAAGAACGTGTTAAAGTATTAGATGTTGCAGATGAGGCAATGCAATGGACAGAGTTTACTATAATACTCTTACCATTCTAAAACATTTGTTGCTTTCACTATAGCCCTGACCAGAGGGGATTCCATCAAAACAGAATTCCTACTATTCAGTTGCTAGCCCTTCACATCACCCTTCCACAAGCTGCACTTCTCTTAGGCAAATTAATTTTTTCAATATTCGCACAACTGTACCTTTTTCCTACCTAGAAACACAATTAATGCAACAACAGATGCAAACTTCCAGAATGGTTGGTCTGAACCAAAGAAACCTAAATTCTGAAGGCTAGCCAAAAGTAAAAAATTAAAAAAAAAAACCCATAAAAAAGCCGCTCTCTCCCCCTTGAAGGAATAAGGTTCCAAGTCCAATACAAAGTGAGGTTTATGGAATAAGGCACTTACTATGTGGATAACAATTACACCACCCTGTGAGTGGGGACTATTCTGCTTCTATTCCAAAATTCCTTATAATCTACCTAATAGGTATCACTCAATTCCCAAGAAAGTATCCTCGCCTGGTGTCTCAAGTAAGGGGAGATCACCAAGGCACAGGCCAGCCATTCCTCAGGAGAGCTGGCATCGGGCTCTCAGGGAGCAGTTGATATACCCCTCCTTGGTGGTTGCTGTCCTCACTCACTGCCTAGCAGTGTCATTTTGCTGTGGCCAGGCAAGCTCGGGCCCAGTGCAACGGAAGGTCAGACCCCCGATCAAAGCACTGCTCCTCGGTCAGGATTGTCTCTCCACAGGTACTAATTAGGCAGAAGGCATCTATGGCTCAGGAAGCCCCTGCACTGCAAATGAGCAGCAGGGAGAATACTCAGGGAATTATATTAAGAGGACAATCATGTAATGATACTGTTCCTTTCTGCTTACTTGCAGCCACTGTCAAGAAACAGGACAAGAGGCTATATAACAGTTTTAGCAAGTATGTCCACCTTAAGTTCTTAGTTATCTCTGAAAACTATGCAAAAGCAAGACAATCACACTACTAAAGCAATTGACTTCTCTTAGAAGACCAACAAGCTGATGCAAAGCAACAATTCAAAAAAGATTTTTTTTTAATCAAATCTACGTTCAAAAACACAATGCAAGATTTTGATTGAACAGCTCAAATGAAAACCACCTTCCAAACCACACATCCTAAACATTTGTTTCCTGAAATTACTAATTCCCACCTCATTGATCTTGTCACCTCAGAGAACTATGGAGTGGGTATGTGCATGACCATTGACACAGGATTTGCACCCTGGAAGATGGGCACAGATTTGCCAGGAAATCAAAGGCCTCAGCTTCATAACCTTATTTTTAACAGCAGATCCACAGAGAGTTGCTAAGGTCTCTGGAAACTGACTGTCTTGGGAGCTAGAGTTCCCAAGCAGCAGCACAGGATAGTCTTTTTAATGCTTCCCAATTAGTCTTGAAAATGTGCTATTGTTCTTTGTTACACTGGTAAAGGGGAACCCATAGACATTTTTCACCCAATTTGCTAACCGCTTGCCCGAGACTAGAAGAAAAATGTACAAGAAAGCTGTGGTTTCTTTCCCAATTATCCAGGATAACATTTTCCAGAACTGGAAAAACTATTAATTTCCCATCTGTTCTCTCTGCCTGTTGCTATCAAATTCTGGTTACCTTTTTACATAGGCTCCCACCATCCTCAACTAAAAGGATGCCATAAAAAGCTTAAGGCATTGATTGCAATGTCCACCTCTTTGATATTCCATTGATGTCAATCCTGGAATATGCCAGTGACATATGCAGTCAGTTACAGCTTACATCTATCACCTCAAAAGGTTAATTCCTTCTCGTCCAGGCAGGAAAAAAAAGAATTAAAATGTGGAAAAAAAACCTAAGTTATACACACCTTGCATTTAAACAGGTATGTTTTATCTCTTTAATGCTTTCCACATCAAAAGAGGTCTATGCATTTTCTTTACTTGCTTTTTGACTCCTCAGAGTCAACGGTAAGATGAGGTTCTTGGGGTGAAACCAGACATTTCCTAGTGCTGGGTCCCCAATTACAGAAACCTCTCAGGCTAGAATGCAGACTACAAACACTGTAATGAAATTCTGCAAGAAGGCTCCTAAAATTCCAGCAAAGCCAAGACAGCTCCAAACAAGACATCATATCACTGATGGTAACACCAGTAGAATGCTTTGGCAACACCTGTTTTGTCAAGTAGATATACATTACACAAATCCCTCTTAGAAACTCTGTATTAACCCACTCTAGAAGCCACCAGGAAAATGAGGTTAAACAATTTGCAACTTGATCACTATAGCATACTCTGAGTGCATTTTATCATCATATGAATCAACACTTTAAAAGCGACAAGAGTTTTCCTCTGATCTTTAGAACAAAGGAGAATGCAAGCAAGAAATAGGTCTGTTTTAATAAAGCTTGTTCTAAAATTGGGGAAGAGCATCACTCTCTGGTTAACCAATGCACTTTCTAGTAGAGGTTTGAAACTAGTCTCGAAATCCATTGTCAGACATTAGGCCTCTCCCAGACTGCACTAATTTTCATTTCAGATGAATCCCACTGAGCTTCCCAAGAAAAAAAAAAATTGAAGGCAATCATTTGTATTTTGTCCACAAATTAATCTAGTTCTGCTTAGGTTTGGATCCCAAGCCAAAAAGGTTTAAATAACAAGTCAATGAAGTCTTGGAGGAGAAAGGCATATGAGAAATAAATGCTATTATTAATGCTTGTACTTACTTTTTGTTTTAAATGGGAGCCAGACCCAAAACATGGAGAGCTAATATTGTGATTCTTATTCATGTCAGTCACTCAGCAGAGTAGAGCACTCTGTACCTTACCATGTACAGGCCTATGCTGACACAAAACATCTCTAATAGCCCCCTTTATTCTTTGTCCTTTACAGGCATCTATGTTTTATTCAGTTTTTATCTTGCTCAAACATCTGAAAGAAAATCTAAGATATTTTGGTACAGACGCTAGAGGAGAGGCAATCCTACTCTTTATGACAACAAAATCTTGTACTTAGCGCTTCCTTCAACTGTAAGATTTTGCCTGACTGACAAGAAAGCAGAGCAGATTAACTCAGCACCAGGGCCAGTGTCTCCGCTGTAAGAATTCACTTAATATTCCATTATTTCTCTTGCATGATTAACCTCTAGAAATATTTAAAATAGCGTTGGAGGGCCTGTGGAGTAGCTAATTAGGCAGTCGACATGATCAAAATTGCCAATGAAAATGTGAGCATGTGTGATGCTGGAATGACCTCTCCTCCCATCCTTACCCCAAACAGAAGCCTTTAGGGCACCGCAGATTTCACAACATACTGAAATTAAGGCAAGTGTAGCAGACTGTCTAGGACTCCAGTTCTTCTTTTCGTAGTACATCCATATATGCTTTTAAACACAGACATGACATATAATAGATATGCTTTCTATAGAAGCAAAAATAGCCACGGCTTATGCAAAAAGGTGGTAACAGATAAGAGATTTGTCTGGGAATAACACTAACCTTTATGCAGAGAGGTACTACCAGGAGATTAGCTGTTATCAACAAGAATGCCAAGTACTTTTAATACTATGCTTCTTAAAATCAGAAAAGTTGGACATACTTTACAGGAATGCAATGAGGCTTTTTCATTTCCAAAAGCAAATGGAACATCAGCATTTCTTCTAGAAAAAAAATTTCTTCCAAAACTCAGTCCGCTTTCTTTGAGGGATTAGGGTGCCACTGCGTTAAACCACCACACAATAAAGCAGTCCCTGCCCACAATGAGTTAGTCAGCAACTCTCCCTGGATTCCTCCACTTAAAAAAATTCAGTAATACCCTCAGACTATCCACTCCTCCTTTTTCTTGCCCCTATAGTACTCCTACACTTTTCCTGCTACAGTTTCATAATTGTATGCATTTTCCCCCTTTTACATTTTCTTTAATAACTCCTTGAATTTACACATATCCACACTTTTCCTCGCCATTACGCGACTTAAATATCAGTATTGCACATAAAACTTGAGCTGAAATGCATTATTGATTTTCACACTGCATTCATTTCTGCCTTCAAGTTTAATGCTCCAAGCAGTGACTTTCCTTTTTGAGTGAACTGACTCGTGGGGAACAGAGAGAAAGACTTCACCTCAACTCCACCTCATCCCTTCCATCTTAATTTGGCATTTTGGCCCATATACAGCACATAAAGACTGCCAGTGTCCAGGGTAATCTCCATCTAACACACCATTGCCACACTGGTAGTAATTTTCATATTATCTTCATCAGCTATTGATACAGATGAGTCATCTACTGACACAGGTCCCCTACTGCTGTCCCATTCAGTCCCAAGGTGGTCTTTGACTTCCTCCCATGCCTTCTGCAGAGGCTTTGTTGGCATCTCTGCTACCCTTTCTGTGTCAGAAACTGTCAAGACAGCCTAAAGTCACAACACTGACTGTTACCAATGGCATCTCTTCCCACATCTGAATGCACTCCTCATTAGTCCAGCACATTTATCAAAACGCATTTCGATGAAAAGGTGACTTAAGTTGATTATGTAATGGTAATAACAGCATTATTTAATGGTATTACATAATCATTGGTGAACATAGGGAATATATCACTGGAGTTCAGTGTCATCTTTCCCTTGAACTTGTCTCTCATATGTCTAGCTTCCTTTATAATGGATATTTGTAGAAAGTCCAAATGGAACCTTTGTTAATTCTTACTTCTATTGCATCCAGTGTGTGCATACTTGTTGTATGTCTTACTGTATAAGGTCAAAAGAGACGAAAAAACCACATACACTTCCTCAAAGATCAGTCACAGAAGGTGGGCTTTGCTTTATTCTAATTTTAAAAACCTTTCCTACTGCTAAAGTATTACTCTCCTTTCTCTCTCCCTCTCAAATCCATATCCCAATGGGATGGCTGAGAATTACTAAATGAGCTTAAATCTAATACTTACACATCTTCCGTTTTCAA